TAACTGTAAATTTCGTTACCGTTACCCAAAAAATGTAACTCGTTACCGTTACAGTTACCAAAAAAAGAAAGTAACGCAGTTACCAGTAAAGTTACCAAAAAAGTAACTTGTAACTGTAACTTCGTTACAAGTAACGAGTTACTTCCATTCCCTGTGTATTACATATAAAATTTTATATAAAACTTCACTAATTACAATTTCGATAAACTTTTTTGAACAATCTTGATTGATAAGTAAGTAAAATACGATTCTCTTCTATAATAAGGAAATTGCTTATTATTTGTCCAATAATTAGGACATTTGAATCATATTATATTTATGACTAAATACAATTTATAATAAACGCAAATAACATATTTGATAATGGATTTAGTTTCAGAAAACATCCATTCTTACTAAGCATGTGTAATAAACTAAAATTTTAATGTTTCTAAAGTTTATAAATAAATGATTTCGTCGCGTGCAATTCCTTAACTGTCCAATAACCGATACATTTACCTTATATATCGCTTGAGGTTATGTATATACACTCAAATCGTATTTCCCGTGCCATTTCCTTTGTAAGCTTCAAAATCATAATTTGAAGGTCTCACGATAATCTTATAAATTAGTCAAATCCGGAAAAGTCTTTTTTGTTATGGATATATGCTTGCATTCATTTATATATACGTGAAGAAAGAACCTACGTGGTAATTTTTGGGAGATTCTCACACCGGTTTGGACTTTCCCGGACTTGTTTGTGTTTTCCCTTTTATTCTGGAAAAGGATTTTTTATTCTGTATAAGGAAAAACGAAATGGCACGAGAAATACGAAACGAGTGTTCCGTCGGTAACTCCAGCATGATATTCTAACAATCGGCTAAATTTCTAAGTGGTTCAACAAAACCGTTCTTTCCACGTGTATTAAAATATTTCAATGTAATCGTATCAGTTGAGCAATTATGAAAGTTTAATTTGATCAGAGACGGATCTACCTCGACAAAATGCTTGTACAATCCGTTTGGTTCTCAAGCGCGGAGGGATATCGGTTGTCCCAAGGTGTCGATACGATATCTATCGTCTCGTTTGGCTAAATACTCGGGAGCGAGTATCTCTAGACCGTCGTCGGGTACGAGCAATATCGCCCACGCTGTTTTTCCAACAAAACGTCAGCGCACGGTACGGTTATCCGGGGCGTCTTAAGACCGGGGGATAAGATCTTCTTCATGGGTACGAAACACGATATCGCCCGACATGGCCTGCGCCCACGTGTTTCGTATTGACCGTTAAAATTCGCCTCCGCACACGCTCTCGCGATGTGTCTCGTGGTGCGCCGGTATATAGGTGGTGTATTATTTTTCCACCGGCTCTCGCCAAATTGGCTCGCACGGAATCTCGAATTACGGATATTCGACACCGCGCCGCGCGCGAGAGGAGGGTAGAGCTCCTCTCGGTTTTTTTTTTTTTTTTTTTTTCCCCCTATTCCTCTCTTCCTCCTCCTACACCATCGAAACCTACCTCCCCGTTCCCTCTGTGGTCCATGCGCCCGCTTTCCGGCATGGCGGAAAAAAAAATATCCGCAATATTCAATCGTTTTACTCTCTCTCCGCGCACTCCCGGCTGGAAAATGCTGCGCGAGTTCTCGCCCGTTTCGAATTGATGTGTTCCGTTGTACGAAAAAGATATACCGCGCTCGGAGAGCGGCAATATATGTTTTTCTCGTTAGAAACCGAATTAAGTTCGAGATAAATGCGATTTTTCGGATAAACTCAGCTATTACGTAAATAGTAGTGTAAACGCGCGTATAAAAGTATAATTAAACTCACACTATCGTGTAGTAAAATTTTATAAATTCTTTTGCAATGAAAAAAAAAAAGGAAAAGACAATTCTTGCTCGATAAAAAAAAGTATAAAATCAATGCCGACTACGAGTGAATTAACAATAATAAAAAGTAATGATAGAGAACAAACAGATAAGTATCTACGTATCGTTTTTGTTTACGGAAAAAAGGTGTGTCGAAGAATTAGTAAAAAGAGAATACAGGCGTGTAAGTCCAACATAGAGAGTCGTAATCGCGGGCTTCCGATCGACGGAAGGCGCATCTCTTCCTTATAGTGATTTCTTGCGCTCCTCTCTTTGCATATTGTGACTCCCCCGGTAATACGACATCCTCGCCCCGTGGGGGCCTCTCTCTTTCTGCTCGGGCGTAACCTAATAGGTTCTCCCATAGGAAGATCATACTTTGATACAATGGCTGATCGCTACATCGCACGCGATCATGGTGCACGTCACGTAAACTGACGATCTTCATAGCACCATTTGCTGGCTCATCGCATAACACGCCAATATTGCGCCCCTTCTTGGAACGGTACGCGTTATACGCCCCTACACTTTAACGTTTCATCAACGATCGGCGAGAGTGCATACGAGAGCTTCGATGGAATTGCGAGCGCGATCGTCCTCGTTGTGACGCAAGAATGGATCGTTATACTGAAACAAACATTAATGTAGACCGTAATTAAAAATATTTCTTTTTAATGTACACTGTACATGATATAAAAATGCTTATAGATGTAGCATTGCGCATGATTGAATTAGAGTCCCTATAATAAGGAGTCTGGCCAAGTTATTATTATAATTCTATTGGTGCTGACAAAATATGGCGGAACCAATAAGATGCCTCAAATACTAATACTTTCGGTATTATTAAAGGCACGCAGCAGCTGGGCATTTTTTTATAAAATTTTAAATTTAAAAATTAATAAAGGGCATAAGAGTCAAAAATTAAAACTAATCTTATATGTCAGTTTAAAAAAAAAATTTTTATTACGAAGATAAAATAAAAGATTGATGTTCTTAACAATATAATATGATATTGACATTAGAATTACATGTTTCGGCTTTTATATTGAGCCATCTTCATAATGAAAGATTGCATTCAGTCGACCAACTACATTAAAACAGTTGATTTGTCGAAGTTTTATTCATCGGAGAATTCTTAACTGGAACATCCACTGCGTATCTATTTTTTATTTTTATATTTTTGATGTTGAAGATCTGAAGATGGCTCAATATAAAAGCCGAAACATGTAATTCTAATGTCAATATCATATTATATTGTTAAGAACATCAATCTTCTATTTTATCTTCGTAATAAAAATTTCTTTTTAAATTGACATATAAGATTAGTTTTAATTTTTGACTCTTATGCCCTTTATTAATTTTTAAATTTATTTATTAACAACAGTACTTTATACATAATTTTATTTATAAAATTTGTTAGTTATAATGCGCATTTTGAATATAGATACACTTTTAAAGGTTAGAAATCGATTTTTATGTCAGCATGTATAATTTGTTTTCTATTATATATATATATATATATTTCACTTACTCTTTACACAGTCTGTGATTTCTTATCAAATTATATATTAAAAAATTATTTATTTTATTTATTTATAATGATTATATTCTGTTCACGATATATTTATAGTATCACATCAGTTGATCATACATTTATCTACGACGCCATGTTTTGTCAAATTAGAAAGATTGGCCAGACTCCTTATTATAGGGACTCTAAATTGAATATATAATAATTTGGAGTACATTTTTAGTTGGTAGAAAATTGGTAATATAATTTTGAAGCTTGAACTATACTGCACTTACAGAATATTCATACAATCTATAGGCATATGGTACAATATATATAGCCATCGATGAATTTAAACGTAATTTCCTTTTCACGTTCCCCGCGGCAGACTCGAGAAGTTTTAAACTCGATCATTAATAATCCGTTCTCTGAAGCGAACGATATACTCGAGAGATATCTTTTATTATTTTTCGAAGACGGCAGGTCGAAACGAAACATTCAAGGATGACTTCGATTGTGAAAAAGAGGCTCTTTTTGCCCGTCAATCGGCAGGCTGCCCGGGAACGGAACCCGTTCTGGCGGGGAATCTTCGTAGCGTTTCAATTAGTTGCGTGCGCTTTCTCAAGATGCCACGCACGATAATTCGTGCGTACACCGCCACGCGTTGCCGCGTCGTTACGCGGAAGAGAGGATTCTTACCGTCATTCAGGGCAAATGAGCCATTGCGTTCTTTGTAACCGCTTTTCTTTTGTGCCACGGCAACGGACGCGCCGTGGAACAAAGGTAAAGGGGTTTTCAAAACGCCAATTCTTATCCGGTAGAAAAAAAAAAGAGAGAGAGAGAGAGAGAGAGACACAAACGTTTTTATTCGACCACAGAAATTTCAGGTTTTATTATCGGACACTGCGGGAATGCCGTTTGAGAATTCGAATGTGATCATTGAATTTAATCATTCGAGCTCACGAGGCCTGAGAGAGCTCTTCTCATTCGATCGTAAATTCATTTTGATATGTTTGAATACAAGTAACAATGTAGACAATTCATTCGTCTATCGACTTGGCAGTCAACTTTAAAATGATTACTGCACGGAAAAAAGCAATTTTGTTGAAGAAAACTTAGATAGGTATATACAGATTTGAAGATAATTTTGTTAAACTATCAAAATTATTAAATTATAGTCGTCATTCTTCAGATTTCTATATAATTATTTTGACGATCCAACAAAATCATTTCCAGATTTATTGTATCTAGCTAAATTTCTGGACACTTCAAAATCATCTTTTTCGTGTGTAATTTTCGAGAATTCTAATCTCATGGCGCTAGAAAAAGAAATTTTTTTAATATTTCAAAGAAACCTGATTGCCATCATTGTTTCTTGAACGTTTTAAATCAACATTTGTTCTATTTACGTGTTGTGAACCGACACATTCCACCTGCAGGGTGAAAAAGAAAACAATAAGGTAACCTTTTAGGATGATTTCGATGGATAGTCATCGCGATTACGATATTTTACGTTATTACGTAACGGCGATTACAATAAAGTTTCTTTGAAAAAGGACTCGCTGAAACGTCCGCTGTTAGTCCGACGATTTTTCCGTCCACTCGTCTGTGTGTTACGTTCTTTCTCTTTCCACTTTCAATTTGGCTTCATTCTTCGTTGCGTTCGTGCGTCTCGGACACCGCTAGTATTCGGACCAGATCATTGTTCGACTCGACGACGTTTTTGTACGTGACGGTATCCCCGTTTCTTCCCTTGAAGCTCCACTGGCTTATTGGCCGTCTGAGGAAGACCAAGACCGCAGCGACGATCATGGCAACGATCAATATCGAGAGGCCGGTCCACAGGATCGGATAGATGACGGATTTGTTGTACTCGTAGTCGCATTGTAGCTCGTAGTCCGGAATTTCAGCCAGGAGTTTGGCACGATGTCGATCTGGTGCGTGGCATCTGTCGTACAAGTTTAACAAAGTGATGGATTATATGTTCCCGTATTCTCGGGTACCTCTCGGTACTAAAATATATCGTTAAAAATGCACTGTGTAGTAAAACAATCTTTTTTATATTATCACATCTTTTTTATATTACGTTGCAGCGCTGAGATAGACAGGGATTTTATAATACATTATTATATTGGGAGTACAAATTAGTTCGGTCCGTTTTCCAAAAGATGATCGCCTCCAAGGACGAGTCATTTTCTCGAGATGGAATTCGAAAATTGCCTTAAGGCCGGAATCGGACTACGCATTGAAGATTGAGGTTAAAGATTGAAAGATTGAAATTTGGCCAATCAAAATAACAGGAGCTAAGGTTCCTTTATTCTCATATTGGTCAAATTTCAATTTTTTAATCTTCAATCTCAATCATCAATGCGTAGTCTGATTCCGGCCTAAGAGATGAGGAAAAGTAGTAGCCAGCGATGAACAATACTTTTTAATTAATCTGTTTATTCATTTGTTTTGAGATAAATGCATTTTTGAACACAAAAAACGGACCGAACTAATTTGTACACCTAATATAAGGATTGAATTTATCATCAACAAAGTATTATCTCGTGTGCGTGATAATGGAAGAATTTCTCTTCACGAAAATTCTCGAGACATCTGAAGAAATAAAACTGAAGCTTGATGAACAGTGCATTATTCGAATACCGTCGTTATATCATTTTCTAACATATTTTTATTGAGATGTTAAAGAGACATTTGTGATATTTGTTAAAAAAAAAATAATATAAACAATCGGAATAAATTCAAGAAAGCGAATACGAAAAATTTTAATTCGCTTCGCTTTCACTTGATATCGGCAACTCTTACCAACTGAGAGTAACATCTTCGTCGATATCTTACCTGATATCTCGATTGAGATTTCTGGACGAATTCAACAGACCGATCCATTTCAAGTTGCAGTCGCATTCCCAAGGATTGTTCTCCAATTCAAGAACGGGCGTTCGTTGTATCAGAAAGCTCAGCTCGACACCTAAGGTCTTGAGGTCGCAGTCTTTTATTAGAAGTCGCTGCAATCGTGGTAGCACGATGTTGAGCGGCGACCAAGGACTGCGACTAAGCCGGTCCAGCCGTTTGGAACCGGTCAACGATAACGTCTCCAGGCTGGTCAGGTCGAGATCGTTCAGCGCCAGCGATGTCAAGTTCGTCATGTTGTTCAGCCGCAATTCTCGTAGCTGCGGTAGATACAAGTTTCTAAAATCTGTCACTTGCGTGCCGGATAAATCCAGCTCTTGTAAATTGATCGGTAACAAAGGTATCGCGCTGATCGGATTCCAGGATAGGTCCAAAGTTGACAGGTTCGTCAAGGTTTTGAAGAAATCCGACGAGAAGTATGACGCGGATATGTTTCTCAGGTCCAGATGTTTTAATGCTGTTAAAGTCCAAAAAGCGCTCTCGTGAATTCCATCCCCTATGGGATTATGGGACAGAGACAAGTACTCGAGAATCTAAAAAAAAAGAAATTTCTTTTCCAGTTGCGCAAAAAATGATAAAATATCAATTTCACGGATAATCTCCGTGAGAAAATTAATAAAGTTAAGTTAAAATTTGAAAGAATAAAAAATTAACGTAAGTTAAGTCAATATTGAATTAACTCAAGTTGAAAGAAAAATTAATTTCGAAAAAAAAATATTTATTTTTAGATCAAAATGTCCTAATTTTTCTTAAAATGAGATTAAATAACTACAATATAGATTATTAAGTAAATTGAATTTTTAATTTTTTTATTCACATGTGATATAAGTATATAACACATAACGATATAACTATATAAGTTATATAACTTTAAAAAAACAACCAGCACATAGAAAAGATACAAGAGTGATAACATTTTTTTAAATTACATTTTAAATTAAAAATAAACTATCAATAAAAATACAACGTATCGATAATTATTAGTTTTTGATAAATTAAAAATAATTATTGAATTTTAATAAAAAAGAGAGAGCGTCATCTCAAAAGAAAAATTGATCGATAAAAAAACTTTTTAACTTAAAAAAAAAGTTAGAAAGTTAACGTTTAAAAGTAACTTAGTCAGGTCTGGATTAAAGAGTTGAGGGGCCCGGGGCTATTTAACTTTAGGGGGCCCTTCTTTTCAATCTTTTTGAAAAAGATGATCACGTCTATAGTATACGTAAAGCAGTATAATTAGAATATTTAATCCAAAACAATAAACATTAAAATTGAATCATATAAAGATTAGAGACAAATAAATTAATTAATACATTCTTTGCTTAAAATTTTTTTTCTCAATTTTAATTTTACAAAATCTTGTACTGAATTATTAAAATCAATCGATCTTAGTAATTCAGATTCGATTGTTAGGCGAGTTAATCGTTTGTCCAACATCACTGTTCTGTACATATTTTTTATTCTTTTAATAAAAAAATTAAAATTTTTTCCTTAATGTAACGGGGGCCCCTATTTCCGTGGGGCCTGGGGCTACAGCCCCCCTTAGCCTCTCCCTTAATCCGGACCTGAACTTAGTTAAGTTAAAATTTAACGCATTTAAAATTAACTAAGTTCAGTTAAAAGTTATTAACTTTTTAACTTTTTTTTTTTAATTTTTAACGTTTTAACTATAGTCACTATCCACCCCTGGAAAATTGTAAATGTGTTTAGAAGAGAATTAAGAAAAATTCTGTAACATTACCGTTAGATGTTGCAGCATGGTCTCGTTGACGACTGTGAGCTTGTTGAAAGAAAGATCTAGTATCTTGAGTTTCGATATTCGGTCGTTGAGAGTTCTATCGTTGATGTACTTGAGGTTATTGTGACTCACGTTTAACAATTGCAAATTGTATTCTTCCTTGCACAGGAAGAAGAATCGCTGAAGGTGATTCTGAGACAAGTCCAGGGTTCTCAGTGCCTCAAGATTGGTAGAGCAATCCAGAAAACTGTCAAATTCGTTTCCTCTCAGATTGAGATCCGTCACTTCTCGCAGATCGATTTTGGTTTGTATTCTCACGAAAAAATCTTCCTTCGTCATTTTCCGAAATGAAAGATCTATCTGCAACGCAATCCCTTCCTTAATCTTATACTTATTCACGTAAAACGATCGGATCATTATTGAAACTGATATCTCGGTAGTTTAGTGGCGTTTTAGCGTTTTGCTTATATTTATCGAAAATAAAAAAAAAAGGGAGGAAAATCTTTGGAAATATAATTTTAGAGCGTAAATTTAGAGACATATGTTTACACGCAAGATATGAAATTTGAGAAAGCGCGATAAGCTGATACTCGACCGGAAACTGATATTCACGACACAAATGACGGGGAAGTGTCATCGATAGTGTCCTGGAAAATCGTAGAATGTTGGTTCACAGGCGATCTGATTAGCATATGGGACCATTCGTGAAATTAAAAAAATCAACCCACCGTGGTCGCCGAGACGAGCGAAACGACGATGACGGAGAACGCGAGCGTTCCGAGTCGCATCGTGTCAGGTAGCGATATATAGTTATCTGATTGATCGATTTTTTTTTTTAAGCGATCCGACCTCCGATGCACCCACCGGGACTACCTAGCGTGAACTATCCAACGAGTTCATCCGCGACACTCCGCCGAAGATTGCAGTGCCGAATTAAGAGGGGAGTGGCGGAATCATTGCATTATAATACGATGCACTCCGCACTTCGATCAGCAGTATACACACGCCTGTTGCCAATCCGCGTCGCTCCAGAAAAATCACAATTCGCCACTTTGTCTCGACAGAGATCCTCCTCGCGATCTGATCTGGAGAGAAATTGTATTATATCCAGGGTTGGTTGAACGTGTGTTTTAAATGCATTAAATTGTAACTTAACTTAAAGATACTTTAAGATACTTTTAAACGTCAACTTTTTTTTTAAGTTAAAATACGTTGTATTTTTATTGATAATTTATGTTTAACTTAAAATGTAATTTTTAAAAATGTAATCGCTCTTAATGTATCTTTTCTATGTGCTGGCAGTTTTTTTAAAGTTATATAACTTATATAATTATATCGTTATATGTTATATACTTACATCACATGTGAATAAAAAAATTAAAAATTCAATTTACTTAATAATCTATATTGTAGTTATTTAATCTCATTTTAAGAAAAGTTAGGACATTTTGATCTAAAAAATAATTTTTTTCGAAATTAACTTTTCTTTCAACTTGAGTTAATTCAATATTGACTTAACTTACGTTAAGCTAATTTTTTATTCCATCAACTTTTAACTTAACTTTATTAATTTTGTAAAGCCATTAACTTTAACTTTATTCAGTTGAAAAAAAACATTAACTTACCCAGCCCTGATTATATCACATATATTAATACAATATCGAGATAGAGGCGTCGTCGTTCTTACTTTGCGTTTGTAGAGATTGATAATGAAATTTGTCGAGTATCGTATAATTTAGTTCACAAGTAATTAAGTAACTACTCAGTTCAATTACTCACATTTTATTTACAGCTTATACAAATCGGCAAGGTTCAAACACGATTACGTATGATTTTGCAAACAAATATATTGTTGTTCTAAAATGAAGCGGTCGGCGCGGCGAGAGTCGCAGTGTCAATTTAATCCGTTCCCGGTCAGAAGTTCAGAATCGTCGAGGCTAACGCACCGTTCTCTGATAAAGCAGTGATTACGCGAGTCGCGCGCACCGTAAATTCGTCCCGCGGTCCTCGATCAGCGATTGTCCTTCCGTCACAATTAATCGCACACGCTTTTCGTTTAATTACTTTAAGCGACGTTCGCGAGCGGTATTTCCGTGTTCGTGAAATTTATGGATAGTTAGAATGACGAGTTGACGTTGTTTCTCCCGATAAGACACTCGCGCCCGAAAAACATATCTGCTCTGCCATGCGCCAGAGAATAAAAATATCGGCTAAGAGCGATAAACCTCGCTCTTCGTGTCGCGCATCTAACGGCGATAATGTCGCTTATGCATTTCGTTGTAATTATCGGTGGATTATGCGTGGAATTATGCTCGTTTTCGAAGCTTCTCAATCTTAAAAATTGAAATTTGATTTTGAAATTATGTACTATTTTTAGAGCTTAATATTTAAATTTTTATAATATTATATTTTATAAATTATAATTAATTATGCAATGAGGTCATTCTTGATATTAGAGATCCTTTAATCGTTAGATTGGCTAACAAATTTCGTCAAATTCCTGCGAGTGAAAGAGAAGACGAAAAATGTTGCCCGTAAATATTGAATGCCTACGAATAACTCTTATATCTTTGTGAGATTAATTATCATGTTCCTAATATAAAGTCATAACAAAATTACGAATGTATTATTAATTTAATTAAAAGTGATGTTAAGCGCGTCGTAACAGCAAATTCATGCGTGCAAATACCTTTTTTAAATAAATTATGCAAATTAAAGAATTTTTAGTTATAATTACTTTTTACGCTTTTTTCAAATTTTATGCAAAATAAAAAAATCTCTTTTATTATATTAAAAAAAAAAAACTGCGATTCACAATTGGTATGCTAAAAGGTATAATTAGTAATAAAAAACGTTAAGAAGGCTTTGTATGTGTGTGTGTTTCATTATATGTGTGCTCCAGCAGGGAATGGAAGTAACTCGTTACTTGTAACGAAGTTACAGTTACAAGTTACTTTTTTGGTAACTTTACTGGTAACTGCGTTACTTTCTTGTTTTGGTAACTGTAACTGTAACGAGTTACATTTTTTGGGTAACGGTAACGAAATTTACAGTTACTTTTGTCGTTACTTTGCACACGATTAAACACGGTTCGATTGGATACATGCTATCTATAGCGCTTATCAATAAGACTTGAAAGCCCTTAGACATTCGGCCGTTATGATTCAGTAATTATTTTACACTTCTATCTTCTATGTAATACA